TTGGACCTCAATGTGGACCAATTTGCTAAAGGAGCCCACAATCCAAAATCTCTCAATACATGGTTAGATTCAGCATTTCAAAGAACCCCATAAATTCAATTTTTGTTGAATCAAACAAATTTAATTTTGGACCCTGATTTGGACCAACTTGAAAACTGGGCCTAAAAATAAATCTAATATTTAAATAGAGTTTAGATTCAGCATTTGAAAGAACCCTATATATATATTTAATTTATGTTGAAATGAAACACAGTTTAATTTTATCCATAATATTTTCTGTGCAAATGGAAATAACTCAAACTGGATAAATAGTTTTCTAAAATAAGATATGATGCAATTTTTCAAATTATAATCAATAATATAATAACAACAACCAGTGATGACTAAAGTTCTCTAAAATTAGATATGATTTAACACTCAAACATTGTTAGAATCAGCATATCAAAGAACCAAAGAATTTGGACCTCGATGTGGTATTATCTTATTAATAATGAAAAGCTCAACCGTTTACAAGTTCTTAAACAGGAGGGGGGTGGGGTGACCCAAGGGGACTCACCTTATATTTCATTTGATTTGTTTAATTGTCCCATACAAGAATATACATGGTTTCGGGGTGGGGATCTTGACAATTTACAAGTTTTCAAAAAGAAGGGGGGTGGGGGTTACCCCAGGGGATTTTCCCTCAATTTCATTTGATTTGTTTTATTGTCCCACTCAAGAATATATATGGTTTAGGGGTGCGGATCTCGACCGTTTACAAGTTATCAAAAAGAAGGGGGTGGGGGTGACCCAAGGGGTCTCGTCTTATATTTCATTTGATTTGTTTTATCGGGGTGGGGATCTTGACCGTTAACAAGTTTTCAAAAAAAAGGGGGTGGGGGTCCCCCAAGGGGACTTCCCCTCAATTTCATTTGATTTGTTTTATATATGGTTTAGGGGTGGGGATCTTGACCGTTTACAAGTTATCAAAAAGAAGGGGGGTGGGGGTTACCCCCATGGACTTCTTCTATATTTCATTTGATTTGATTTATTGTCCCATACAAGAATATATATGGATGGTTTCGGGGTGGGGATCTTGACTGTTTACAATTTCTCAAAAAGAAGGGGGTGGGGGTGACCCCCATGGACTTCCCCTATATTTTCATTTGATTTGTGTTATTGTCCCATACAAGAATATATATGGTTTAAGGGTGGGAATCTTGACCGTTTACAAGTACTCAAACAGGAGGGGGTTGGGGTGACCCCAGGGGACTCGCCTTTTAATTCATTTGATTAGTTTTATTGTCCCATACAAGAATATATATGGTTTCAGGGTGGGGATCTTGACCGTTTACAAGTTTTCAAAAAGAAGGGGGGTGGGGGTTACCCCAGGTGACTTCCCCTCAATTTCATTTGATTTGTTTTAATGTCCCATTCTAGAATATATATGGTTCAGGGGTGGGGATCTAGACCGTTTACAAGTTATAAAAAAGAAGGGGGAGGGGTTACCCCCATGGACTTCCCCAATATTTCATTTGATTTGTTTTATTGACCCATACAAGAATATATATGGTTCAGGGGTGGGGATCTCGACCGTTTACAAGTTATCAAAAAGAAGGGGGTGGGGGTAACCCCCTGGACTTCCCCTATATTTCATTTGATTAGTGTTATTGTCCCATACAAGAATATATATGGTTTAGGGGTGGGGATCTCGACCGTTTACAAGTTCTCAAACAGGATGGGGTGGGGGTGACCCCAGGGGACTCGCCTTATATTTCATTTGATTTGTTTTATTGTCCCATACAAGAATATATATGGTTTCAGGGTCGGGATCTTGACCGTTTACAAGTTTTCAAAAAGAAGGGGGGTAAGGGTGGTCCAGGGGACTCCCCCAATATTTCGTTTGATTTGTTTTATTGTCCCATACAAGAATATATATGGTTTAGGGGTGGGGATCTCGACCATTTACAAGATAAAACTCAAATTTATTTCCATGAACCAGTAACAAAACACCAAAATAATTCTCTAAAATTAGATATGACTTAACCACTCATAAATCTCTAAAATTAGATATGATTTTATATCTATCAATTAAACACATCACTTTTCAAAACAAATAACTCAAACTTATTTCCATAAACCAGTAAAAAACCAGCAAAATACTTCTCTAAAATCAGATATGATGTTATATCTAATTCCATATTATAATCAAATTTAATTAATAGTTGCTAATATTGTTTCTTTCATGTGTCAAAAAATAATACAGATCTGCAACTTATCTATCAATGTCAAAAACTTTATCTCATAATAAAAATAGATTATTATCTAATTAAAAACAAGTTCAGATTCAGCACTTGAAAAACCCTATATATATTTAATTTATGTTCAAATATAACACACACAACCTGATTAATTTTCCCAGGGGACCTGCCCTTTATTTCATATGATTTGTTTTTTTGTCCCATACAAGGATATATATGGTTTAGGGGCGGGGATCTCGACCATTTACAAGTTCTTAAACAGGAAGAAGGTGGGAATGACCCCAAGGAACTCACCTTTTATTTCATTTCATTTGTTTTATTGTAACATACAAGAATATATATGGTTTCGCGGTGGGGATCTTGACCGTTTACAAGTTTTCAAAAAAAAAGGAGAGTAGGGGTTACCCCAGTGGACTTCCCCTAAATTTAATTTGCTTTATTTTATTGTCCCATACAAGAATATATATGGTTTAGGGGTGGGGATCTTAACCGTTTACAAGTTTTCAAAAAGAAGGGGGTAGTGTTTATCCCCTTGGACTTCCCCTATATTTCATTTGATTTGATATATTGTCCCATACAAGAATATATATGGTTTCAGGGCGGGAATCTTGACCGTTTACAAGTTATCAAAAAAATGGGGGTAGGGGTTACCCCAATGGACTTCCCCTATATTTCATTTGATTAGTTTTTTTGTCCCATACAAGAATATATATGGGTTTCGGGGTGGGGATCTCGACCGTTTACAAGTTCTTAAACAGAAAGAAGGTGGGGATGACCCCAGGAGACTTGGCTTTTATTTCATTTGATTTGTTTTATTGTAACATACAAGAATATATATGGTTTCAGGGTGGGGATCTTGACTATTTACAAGTTTTCAAAAAAAAAAGGGGTGGGGGTTTCAATTGATTTGTTTTATTGTCCCATACAAGAATAAATATGGTTTAGGGGTGGGGATCTCAACCGTTTACAAGTTTTCAAAAAGAAGAGGTGGGGTTTACCACCGTGGACTTCCGTTAAATTTCATTTGATTTGTTTTATTGTCCCATACAAGAATATATATGGATCTCAACCGTTTACAAGTTTTCAAAAAGAAGGGGTTGGGATTTACCCCCGTGGACTTCATCTATATTTCATTTTATTTGATATATTGTCCCATACAAGAATATATATTGTTTCTGGGTGGGACCGTTTACAAGCTTTCAAAAAGAAGGGGGTGGGGGTTACCCCAATGGACTTCCCCTATATTACATTTGATTTGTTTTATTGTCCCATACAAGAATATATATGGTTTAGGGGTGAGGGATCTTGACCGTTTACAAGTTCTTAAACAGGAAAAAGGTGGGGTGACCCCAGGGGACTCGACTTTTATTTCATTTGATTTGTTTTATTGTAATATACAAGAAGAAAAATGGTTTCAGGGTGGAGATCTTGACTGTTTACAAGTCTTCAAAAAGAAGGGGGTGGGGTTTACCCTCGTGGACTTCCCCTAAATCTTATTTGATTTGTTTTATTGTCAAATACAAGAATAAATATGGTTTAGGGGTGGGGATCTCAACCGTTTACAATTTCTCAAACAGAAGGGGGTGGGGGGTTACCACAATGGACTTCCCCCGTATATTTCATTTGATTTCTTTTATTGTCCCATACAAAAATATATATGGTTTAGGGTTTGGGATCTCGACCGTTTACAAGTTCTCAAACAGACACGCTGGGGGTGACCCCAGGGGACTCACCTTTTATTTCATTTGATTTGTAACATACAAGAAGATATATGGTTTCAGGGTGGGGAGCTTGCACATTTACAAGTTTAAAAAAAAAAGGAGGGTAGCTGTGAACCCGAGGACTATCCCAATATTCTATTTGATTTGTTTTATTATCCCATACAAGAATATATATGGTTTAGGAGTAGGGATCTCAACCGTTTACAACATAAAAGCACATTATCAAATTGAAGGGGGGTAGGGGTAAGAATATATATGATTAACGGACACTTAATTATCTACAAAATGTCTAATAATGAACAGTAAATGCCAAAATTCATTTATACAGTAATACTAGTTAGTTTCAAACTGTATATATACAGTCCTACAGATCTTATCAGAAAACAGAAAATTTTCAAATAAATCTGTCACTCCAATGATTATCATATGCTAAAATATTTCCAAGATCTAATTAATAATGAAAATAAATCATTATCATATGCTGAAATATTTATAATATCTAATTGAACAGAACTATGGTTGTTTAACATAGTACTCTAACATAATTAATAATGTAATAATCTTCAAAATGTCTAATGATATAGTTTATAATCATTACCACTTAGGAAATAGATAATTTTCAAATAAATCTGTCACTCCAATTTTTATTCTGAGATAAGACAAATCATAACATAATAACAATAGTAAAATATTTAAAAATTCTACTTTTGGATATTAAAAATGGCGATAACTCACAAAGGAGATATACTAAAATCTTGAAAATTAATAAAGACCTTCATTAAGTCCCAGGAAACAACATATTTAAATTTAAAAAAAAATTGTTAAAGCGTTTTCATGTTATTGTGCGGACACTGTTTGGCAGCCGCCAAACCGCCCACCGTATATCACCATTTTAATAACCGATATTTCCTTCGAAAATCCGGTTAAAAATGAATACACTTAAACACAAGTTATTGCCTTAAAATTAAAAAAAAATGCTTGTTTTAGACCCTTTTTGGTCCCTAATTCCTGAACGGTTTGGGCAACTATCCCCAAAATGAATCCCAACCTTCTGCTTGTGGTATTGAACCTTGTGGTACAATTTCAGAGCAATCACAATACTTATACACAAGTTATTGTCCTGAAACTAGAAAAATGCTTATTTTGGACCCCTTTTGGGCCCCTAATTCCTAAACGGTTGGGACTATCACCCCCTAAAACAATCACAACCTTCCTTTTGTGGTATTGAACCTTTTGTTTCAATTTCATATAAACTAAAGTTATTGTCCGGAAACCAAATGTCTTCGGACGACGACGTGATAGCATTACTTTGCGGTCGTATAAAAATTTAAATCTTCCAAAAGTTTTTTTAATTGTTGAACTTAAAATGCTACTGGTGCTCTAGAGCCAGCAAGCAGATTTTCTGTTATATGATGATTATATCATGTAGTAATGATGATGTATATTATAAACATGACCATCTGGTGCTAAGACCACAAACGCGCAAATAATAAGTTTATTTTAACTTTCTTGACTTCATTTCATTGTATAAATTTAGTATGTGATTGTTTGTTTTGAAGCTCTGCGTGACCCATTATTTGAAACAAAATCAGAATTGAATCAATTTTACAAGATATATATACAAAATTTAAGTCATGAATTCAATAAAATTAAAATTTAAATGAAACGAAAATTCAGTAATAGTCAAATTTATGAATTCCAAATACGTGGAAGTAAATCTGCGAAAATTGTGCAAAATAATGGAAATTAAATTGATAAAAGGCCATTGTTTTTTAATTCTTAATTTTAATAAAGATTTGCGCAGAGTTGTGAAAACTGCTGAGTTACCATTATAATATGAGTTACAGAAATTTATTTTGTCCATTCCATAAACATCCACTCATGAATGTAATTGGTTTCGTTTCTACCATCAATTGTTAAAAAGGAAAAACTTTTTTTTTACATTTTTAAAAAATATACCTTTGATGAAAAAAATAATGAATATTTGTAAACAAATCGCAGTTTTTAAAATTCTTTTTTTTTTTCGAATCCAAATAATCTTCTCTCTAAAATCAAGACTGTTATTGAAGCTGTCTGAATTTTTTAGTATGTCGTTTCCATGATATTTCTAAAGATATCGTACAGGGCACCTATTTTAATATGAGTCGTTTTTTTCATCCTCCTTAATGTAATTAGTTCGTTTCAATTGTTAAAAAAGCAAAAACCTTTTTTTTCACATTTTTAAAAAATATACCTTTGATGAAATAAATAATGCTGAGTTACCATTATAATGTGAGTTACAGAAATTTATTTCGTCCATTCCTTAAACAGACGGCAATAAAAATATAAAAAAATGCACTGAAATAAGCAATAGCTTTTCTCATGGCTGCGAATAGCTTTTTATTGTTACTTTCAAAATTCCTACTAGTAATACAGAAAACAAATGTTCAGCTCTTGTATATCGATGTTGTAAAATAGATTTAATTGTGATTTTGGTCAGGCAGAGGTTCATGATCAGTATATCAATATATTTATTAAATTATATCAATAAAACATTGTGTTCAATGACTGTGACTCATCTTATTGCATCGAACAATAATGTTAAAAACATTAAGATCATGAAATTCCTTAATTCTGATTGTATTGCCTTTCTAAATTGATTTTAATTTTTATATTTTAATTTTTAATTTTTTATTTTGCCTGTTTACCATCACTTTTTGTCGTTGTCACCATTCTCGAATCCAAATTATCTTCTCTCTAAAATCCAGACTGTTATTGAAGCTGTCTGAATTTTTTAGTATGTCGTTTCCATGATATTTCTAAAGATATCGTACAGGGCACCTTTTTTAATATGAGTCGTTTTTTTCATCCTACTGAATGTAATTGGTTCGTTTCAACCATCAATTGTTAAAAAAGAAAAACCTTTTTTTTTCACATTTTTAAAAAATATACCTTTGATGAAAAAAATAATGCAACAAATCGCAGTTTTTAAAATTCTTTTTTTTTTCTTAAGAAAAGAAAAACTAATAAAAAATTGCTCTTTCATCTCAATATCCCTTTTTGATACAAAAAAAAAATAATTATAAATTAGAGCATATTTAAAAAAAAAATTCTACTGGAAGCTAAAAATCCTTGTTTTCAAAATTGATGGCATTTATATAAATCAAAAATCTACATGACAATGGACAGCAAAAGATGTCGTTTATGACATGGGGGGAAAGGAAATAAATGATCAGAAAAGTATGCCAAATTTTCAACCAAAAAGTCTCTACTTGAAGACTAGTTTGTATATTTCCACTAAGACGTTTCATTTATTCAATTCGAACAGAATTTCTGTTTATATGGCATCTTATATTTCTTCTTCCGTCTTTTTATATACAAGGGCCGAATTTTTATATGCAAAGGCCTTACCCCGCTCTCATTTGACTAGGATTGCCTGTATTCCTTTCGATTCCACCGGTGGTTCTCTCCGGGATTCTGGTTTCCTCCACCAAAAACAACTTTCCATAATTATTTAAGATTGAAACTGACCATTATTATGAACATTTAAAGATTATAGTGTTAAAATAGGCGTCTAACACAACCTCTCAATTTAATTTAATTAATTTTCCAAAGAGAATCAGAAGCGCTCTATTCAGAATCAAATGGCCGTCTTCTTATTTACTGGTGATACAAATAATTTTTTCCCATATATTTTACACTTACTTAACACGTTCAGCGGTAACTTTGGTAGCTCTGGTTCCTTGGCTCACTGCACGACAAAAGTACTGATGCGAAGAGGAGGATGGCCAAGTATGCCAGATTACAATTAAGGATATGAAAGGACGACGGAAGGACGAAACTCAACCACCCATCACTTTAAATCGCTCGCTTCAATACCTATAGTTTCATACCAAGAATACAAAATTCTCCAAGATCCAATGATTTTCAAATGTTTATAATTAGTTAAAATATGATCTTACAAATTTATTTCCCATTTGTTGTCAGTTGAAAGAAGAACATGTAATTTCTCCTCAGAATGTCACTTAATATTTGTAGCAATGTGTTCCAACAGGAACATTCACTTCTGTTTATAAACTCATTTTAGATACCATGATTATTCTGGACGCCCAGACGCGCGGTTCATCTACAAAAGACAGACTCATCAGTGACGCTCGAATTAAAAAAGTAAAAAAAGTACAAGGAGAACCAAAAATCTGAAAGGTTTTGTCTACAGCTAAAGTAATCTATGCCTTGGGTAGAAAATTTCCTGGTAGAGGAGTAGAGTTATAAAGAAGGCATAGAAGGGCATGTAAAGAAGACCTGTTTCATTCACAAGGTCAAAATCTTACTGGAAATTGAATATTATAGACAGTGTAGCACAATTTTACAGGATTTCCTAACCAAAATCGCGAAAAAAAATCGTCTCTTTGTGCTGAAGTGGCATACCGCAAACGCCTCTTTGTGCTAAGGTGGCAAACAGCAAGACCGGAGTTTCAGCTAAGACGTTTTTGAAAGAAAAGCATGCTTCTGTAAACTTGTTTTTACACGATCGGTTCCAAATGAAGCTTGTTTTTAAAAACTGATCATAAAAGATCAAAACTGAAAACGTGATTTCCCACAAATTTCGAAAAAAGGAAGGACGTTCTTCCCTATAGTCAATTCTCAACAGTTCTAAATATGTTGACTTGTATGTAGCTTTAGAGGAGCAACACGATTCTAAATATTGCCTCTGACAGTTACATACATTTTGTATTTCATCCAATCAAAACTTTCACTTGACCTTGTCGAGTTAAGTTAGAATTGGCAAATACATGTGGTTTCCGAGAACATGAAAATGGGGTTTAAATTGATTTTTTTTATCACCAATCGTCATTGTCTGGGGTAAATTCCCCTATGTTTGGTCGTTGGTCGGAACAAATAAAGAACAAGACTTAAGTCTCATTCCTGCCCAGTTTGGTTAAAAGTGCATTCAAATAATGTTGACGAATTACGGGAGACGGACTAGCAATCGATCATATTTGCCTTGCACGTCAAATGACATGTATGAATATATTGTCTTTTACACATATAAAAAAAATGCCTCCTGGGTTCAGCTAATCCGATATCACTTTGAAGAAAGAATAAACTGATGCGCTTCAATCGGTCTAGCAGTCTCAGATACTATTTATTCTAAAGATGCCACCTGATAGCAATTTGGCATTTTGAGTTAAACATTTAAATAATTAAAAAAACAACAACATATAATCATAATTATATTCCTCTTGGCAAAGCTTGAATAAGTTAAACACTGCTGCTAGATGACACTAAGCAGGGAGCATATCTTAATGACAATTATTACAGTCAGGATGGCAAGGTTCAGCATTAATTCTACAGCGACATCCACCAGATATGTCACCTAGACCCTAAAATGAAATATAATATGCAATTATTAATGCAGAAATGAAAAGTAAATAATAGAATAATTCATCGCTAGCCTTCGTTGGTCGAGTGGTTTAGGTCGTTGGACAAAGTGCAGGCGATAGTTGCCACAATGTCTCAGATGCAGGGGTTTGAATCCCGATAACGCAAATTTGCAGATCTAACATTGTTAGGCTTAATTTGAGACGAAGTATATGTATAAATAATGAATACGAAAATTTCATATAAAATGTTTTATTGCAATAAGGATGGTAATTAATGACACGCCCAAGTGCACATCCTATTAAAAAATACATGATATGGAAACTAGTCCTTCCTGATCCAAGTCATAGATATGCATAAAGTTTGTATCTATCGTACCCTCAACTCAAACTGCAGATCTAGTGCAGAAAAATTACAACTTGTTTTCATCGGCAATCTGTACATTTTCCATTTGATCATTAGGTTTTTCCACTTTACGTGGAAAGACCTATTTATTTTGTTCTGATTATTAGGTATTTGGCATATGATATCGAACAGATTATACGCTTTTGAAACTGACACCACTTAACCGAACACATTACTTTGTAAAAAGTTATCTCCCAAAACACTTTTTTTCTTGTTCGCTCTACTCCTTCGCAACAGTATAAGATTACGACAAAATTATTTTACCACATTGCTCGTTATATCCTAAGGTTGTCGAGAATAATTTTGATCGAAGAGATCTGAAGATTCCATATGAGAGTTATTTCCCTTTATGTATTTGACATAAGTGAAATGTATTAGTAACTCATAAACCGCTAGTTTCTCAATTGTTTGTAAAACAATTGAAAGGAATTTCCCTTAAAAGTCTGATATTTGTAATGCACTCTTTACGACCTTTCATTTGATATGCGACAACACCATCTTCTAGAAAGTTTGATTTTTGCACTTAATAACCCCATCCAACTCATTTTTGGGAGACAGGAATTTGATATTTGAAATGTACACATTATGACCTTTCATTTAATATACGACAACCTTACCCTAGAAGACAATTTATTTTTTGCACTCAATGACCCCGCCCAACCCTTTTTTGGGGGACGTGAATTTGATATTTGAAACGTACGCTTTATGGACTTTCATTTGATATGCGACAACCTTACCATCTTAGAAATTTTAAAATTGGGGCAATTCCATAGCTCATTACGGGCACAATGAATAATTAAATATATGACACAATACCGAACTTGAGAACCGGAAACAGTAGTATGATACATTGGACTATCCCCATTCAACTCAGGACCGCTTGACCTTTCAAAAGGTCACAAGGTCAAGGCTATAGTACCCTTTGAAGGTCAAAGTGAAATTTCATCATGACCTTGACATTGACCTCAAATTGAAGGTCTTAAAATACTGATCATATTTGCAGTTTATAATAGGTTGATATATGTTACCATTTCAAAGATATACACAAAAACTATACTTTAAAGACTTATCTCGTCGTAACTTTTGAACGGATGGTCGGACAGTTTTTGGTCTAAGTATAAAATGTAGACCTCTTCCAGAGGAACATTTTAAACGCTGTGTGTATGCAGCTATCTCTTCTCGTTTTCTCAATATTCAAGCTTGAAATTTAAGCGTAAAAACTTTCGCACTCTATGACCTCTGACCTTGGGTGCAAATGAAAGATCACAAGAAGTAAAGATTATTGGTGAAGGTCCCATGTCTCTACGACTTCCGGTTCTCGAAATATAATTTTTCAAAAAATTGTGTATAATATTTCAAGGGGAAATAACTCTTATAAGGGTTGATAACAAAATAATTGTTTATGTTTATTAACATTGCCACCTGTTCCTGTACATGTTAAAATTTTCAGATCGATTCTATCTGTAACAATTTTTAAGCTATATGCAAATAAAAGAAATTGTTTCAAGGGGATATGACTCTAAAAGGAGACGATAAAATCCTACGCAGCCTGATCTGGTAACTCTTGGTGATGAGATCTACCTATTGTCCAAATAAGGTCATGATATCTTTAAAAACAACGAGGGGGCCATGTCGAAAAAAAACAATAAAAGGGAGGTCGAAAAAAAACAATAAAAGGGAGATAACTTCTAAAAGGGATGATGAAATCCTACACAGCCTCATCTGGTAATACTTCATGATAAGGTCTATCGATGGGCCAAATTTGGTCATGATAACTTCAATAGAAACGGGGGGAGGCCATGTCAAAAAAAATGTTTGAAGAAAAAAAAACCCATTAATTAGAAAAACAATAAGGTCTTTCCTCGCGTAGGGGAAAGATCTATATAAGTGATAGGGTCTTTTGATTTGAGGTCCTGGGTCTTTTGCTATAATTCATATTTATACATGATAAAGCCATGGAGTCTTTTGCATTGGATTGGTAGACATATGACCTTGAAAAGGTCACCCGGAAGTGACCTGATGTAAACCGGAAATAGCTATTACCTGCACTGATTTCATTTAAAAGTACCTAGGACCATATATTTGTGGAATCATTGTGAAGTTACCTATATTATACCAGAAGTAAAATTTTGTAAACCAGAAGTAGCAACGTGGGCCGTAGTAGTATTCCGACGGTTCAATAGTCCGACGGTTTGAAGGTCCGACGGTTCGCTAGTCCGACGCTAGTCCGACGGTTCAATGGTCCGACGGTTCGGTGGTATTATAGTGATTCATTACCGCTAGACCGAATTCTTCTGTCTCTATATCGCATATATTTCCTGACCTTCATTTGATTTTTACTATTTTTGCTTTTTTTGCAATTTTTGTTTGCGATATATATAAAAAAAGAAATAGAGAAAAGCAAAAATAGTAAAAAGAAAATGAAGGTCAGGAAATATATGCTATATATAGAGACAGAAGAATTCGATCTACATTTCCGCCCCCCCCCCCCCCCCCCCCCCCCCCACCAATAGGTTGATCAGCATTGGAACCTGTCGAATGTGACACCTGATTATTCCAGAATCCTTTGTGACACCTGATTATTCCAGAATCCTTTGTGACACCTGATTATTCCAGAATCCTTTAAACTAGAAACACTTTTTGTCGGTCCGAAAGATAATACTTCCATTGTTCTTTAACCTGAGTATTTCAACAACCTCTCTTATCCGGCATACTTTTTTTTGTTCTAATGTATGTCAGATTAGATAGGTTTAAGGCACTGGCTACGATTACGTTGAAAACGTAACAATAACAAAACAGTTATTGTTACGTTGGACACTGATTGCCGGAATGCTTGGTTGGGTTAGTAACCGATTAATAACGAACGTAACCATAATATTTGTGTCTACTGTTACGTTGTATTATTGTTACGTTAATGCATTTCTATCTATGCTGGGAATAGTAATATAGTATGTCCCATATGTATGTAATATATTTTTTAAAATACTTGAAAACTTTTATTCGTAAACAATTCAATGATACAATATCGCATACAGAGTAAATATTGTATTTACAACGCAGCTTCTGCACATCCAGTATGTGCTTTTGGTGCATGTTTTAGTCCGACGCATTTTTGGTGGAACCACTCTAGCCAGCCACCACAAACGACTGATGCCACAACGTGCACGTCGGTTTTGTACACTAAACAGTTCCACTCTGCAATTTCCCTTTTTAATGCCTGCCATGCTTCAGGTGAAAAGTATTTTTTTATTCTTGAAATATTAATATATTCGTCTAAAATATTTGTTGGAAACATGTGATGTTGTTTTATGTTGTCTTTTGATATCATTTCTTTTCCGTCATTTATATTACTGTATGAAAATTGCATCTTGATATTATTTTAGTTTTAATCAAACGCATCCAAAGTTTTAAATTTTCACCCAAAGAAAAGTTGGTAGTGGGAATAACTTCGTTTATTGTTTAAAGTATATGACACTAATAAGGGTAAGTGTGCAAGAATTTCAGAGAATTAAACAACAACACTAAAGCTTATTAAAAGTTTAATAAATCTAACGTAACAATAACACAACGTAACCGTAGACACAAATATTATTGTTACGTTCGTAATTAATCGGTTCCTAATCCAACCTAGCATTCCGGCGATTAGTGTCAATTTAACAATATCTTTTTTGTTATTGTTACGTTTCAACGTAATCGTAGCCAGTGCCTGTTTCCAAGTAGTAACTGATCTCTTCCAATAACTCAGTTTTATCATTGCCTCCAATTGGATTTGACACTTTTACAAGAGATTTTAACACTAACAAGCGGAATCTATATTCCGACCATGTCCGTTTCCAGTGTCCACGAATAGAGACTTCGTCATTATCATGAAACACTGCGGGTACGTGCGCAAGTCGAGTGCATGTCATTGAGGAACGGACTCTGTGGAATTCAGAAATATGCTCTCGATCCCCGCCTCCTCGTGCCACATTTCTCGCAAAGTTGTTATATACCCGCTTTATTGAGACGCTTGGGTCCTGTTGAATGGCACCATGCAAAGACTCTATTGTTCGATCAACTTCGATAACAATATCGTCTTCTTCATGTGTATGGGGACCTTCCCGCAAAATTACGATGTTTGGTGCTTGGTCATTTGTCTGCAGGTTGCCGTTGGCTCTGCATTCTTGCCTCCAACATCGCCAGTATAAAGCATGAAGTCTCTCTCTGTTTTTCTGGTATTTGAAACCGTTGTATATAAGAATTTTGCCTCCGCGGTTTCCAGCAATGATCCTTGCAGCCATTTATGAGATGTAATGAACAAGGGGCACAGTATAGCTTCCGAGTTCGTGTGATCAATATTTATATATATTGTTGACAGTTGTTTTTGTAATTATATGCGATTTATGATAATTTTAAGTATCAGCATTTGGTTTTATTTTTATTAAAAACACTGTTTAATGATGAAAATAAAATGCTCCGCTGGACGAAGCTTGATACGACCGGAGAGGTCGAACACTGAACAGTTGGGGCAAGTATGAACACTACATTCAAGCTTGATACAGCTCTGAATTTGGATCGTGATTAAATATTTGACACAGCATAGGTTTCTGACACAGAATGAATGTGGTCAAAGAACTGAAAAAAATCCTATTATGGTCCAAAATCCAAAATCTAAATACACGGTTCGATTCAGCATATCCAAGTACACCAAGAATTGAATTTATTTATTTATTAATGGACAATATAACCTAAAAATTTTAAGGGGTTCGCTTCATAAAAATATATATATATATATATATATATAACATTCTGCAAATTAATTTATACAGAATAACAAACAAACCTACTACAAAGTTCTTCAAAAAATTTACAAAAAAAAATGAAAAAAAAAACAATTTCCAAAATATCCTTCATCATTAATACAATGTCTTTAAAAAATCTATAAAACTTACCTTTCATCATCTTCAAAATATTCTAATAATGAACAGTAAATTTCAAACTATATTTATACACAATTTCTTCTCTAAAAAAAGAATGTATGCTGTATTTTTAACTATGAATCTACTTACAATTTCTTTTAATTGTGCAATACAGCTCTGAATTTGGGTTGTGATCAAATATTTGACATAGCATAGGTTTCTGACACAGAAAGAATGTGGTCTAAGAACTTAAAAATCTGAAATTGGACATTTACCTATTATGGTCCAATATCCAAATCTAAATACATGGTTAGATTCAGCATATCAAAGAACCCCAACAATTCAATGTTTGATGAAATCAAATAAAGTTTAATTTTGGACCCTTAGGACCTCAATGTGGACCAATTTGATAACGGGGCACAAAATACAAAATCTAAATACACGGTTAGATTTAGCATATCAAAGAACCCCATATATTCAATTTTTGTTGACATCAAACAAAGTTTAATTTTGGACCCCGATTTGAACCAATTTAAAAACTGGGCCCTAAATAAAAAATCTAAAAATATGTTTAGATTCAGCATATCAAAGAACCCCTTTAATTCAATTTTTGTTAAAATCAAACTAAGTTTAATTTTGGACCCTTTGGACCTTAATGTGGACAATTTGAAAATCAAAATCAAAAATCTAAATACATGGTTAGATTCGGCATATTAAAGAAACCCAAGAATTCAATTTTTGTTGAAATCAAATAAAGTTTTATTTTGGACCCTTTGAATCTTAATTTAGACCAATTTGAAAACGGGGCCCAAAATTCAAAATCTAAATACATGGTTAGATTCGGCATATCAAAGAACCCCAATAATTCATTTTTTAATGAAATCAAACAAAGTTTAACTTTGGACCCTTTGGACCTCAATGTGGACCCATTTAAAAACGGGGCCCACAATCCAAAATCTTTATACACGGTTATATTCAGCATATTAAAGAGCCCCAAGAATTCAAGACATTGAATTAAACCTCATTGAAATTGGTCAAGAATAAGCAATTTATACAATGTATAAGAAAAGAAAAGTAATGTTTCTGGCCCCTTTTTCCTACAAGGCTAGGGCCATAGCCCTCTAAAATCCATCCCAACCTTCCTTTTTTAGGTATGGAGTCTTGTGGTTAAATTTCATAGCGATCCATACACTTATACACAAGTTATTTTCCTGAAACAATAAAAATGCTTGATTTTGGCCCCTTTTAGTCCCCTAATTGTGTTCGCGTGAATTTTAGGGGAAACGACGATTTTTTTTAATTTCACAAGTTAGTTGTATCTTTTCATTTTTCGGATTCTTTATTTTAAGTTTCAGTTTTATTAGTAAAATAATACAAAGTGCGAACTAGCATAGAACAGACTCGTGGCCATTTCGGCAAAATTTGACTTGATTGTAGATCTTGTCTTGCTGGTCATCTTTATAATTTAAAGTGTCTATTTATCTTTTATAGTTTTCAAGATAATAGGCAAACACGCATAATATTGGTAAACATTGTCATTAAAGAGCAAGAACTCTAATAAGACGGAGACTTCATAACATAAGGCATCTATATACAAAGTATGAAACATCCATGTCTTCTACCTTCTGAAATATTAAGCTGTTAAGTACTTAGTTAACGCATCCGCCGCCGCCGGATCACTATCCCTATGTCTCGCTTTCTGCGACAGAAGTCGCAGGACTACTGATCTGATGATACCATCGGAGACTAACAATTGTTTATTCACGTTTCTCCAACATTCGAAAAATCCAACTCACGTTTATCGGTTTATTCACGTTTCTCCAACATTCGAAAAATCCAACAAGTGTCAAACGATAGATAGGCTTAGTGTTTATACAGCAATTAAAATTGTTGTTTTTAGGAAGTTATAGTGAGACCTGTACACAATGTATAATATAATTTTCAAATTAGACTTATTAATAATAAATGTAAAATAATAAATAAATTCAGAAAAATCAAAAATAAATGAGATATTTTTATATAAAAATTCTTCTAATACTGTTCAACTTTTGATTACAATATCAAATAAAAATATTTATGACAGCTTGAAAAAGGTTTTTGTTTGACAATTTTAGAGTTACAATAAAATATAACAGTATCGTATATATATGTCTCTGCCTGTATATATATGTTGTGTACAAGATGTAATTTTGTACAAATTATAATTTGTACAGGGTTTTTGTACAAGTTATAATTTTTTTGACACATACCTTTTTGCACCAGGTGATAAAAGTTTATCTTCTAAAATGTATCAGTTTAATGTCTTAAATTCAAATTTATATACTTCAACCTAAAATTTAGTGCTATTCTCCTTGTCCTCAAACTGAAAATAAGGACACCTGAATGGTTTAAATTCTATTTTCATTTTTCTCCTTATACCAAAATCATATCCATAAAAAGTCTTTTTGTGTTCTTATAATGTTTTTTGTATCAATGCTCGGTATTAAACTGTATCATGTAGTCATGGAAATATGACAGAAATATGCGAAACAAAAGACTCGGTGCTTGCATCATCCATTTGTGTTAAGCGGTTCATAAAACACTGATTACTTGTACAAAAATTCTGTACAAATTATAATTTGTACAAAATTACAATTTGTACACAACATATATATACAAAAATATCAAATGTTGGAGAAACGTGAACACACCCTAACAATCCACCAGCAGCGGTATCGACCCAGTGCTAGTAAATGAAATAATAAGTTACTCACTAAACTTGTCAAATATAAACTTACATTGGGTCCCCATCTTGGTCCTTTTGTCACCCAACATATTTCCGTTTTGCATATTGAACATTTTATCCAATCACATCCATCTTTTTTCTGTAATATAACTTTACACTGAGGGCAATGCATTGCATCCCCTTTATTAACCATGTCCTGAAATGAATATTTTATATTTTCATAGAAACTTACGAATAAAAGGAGAAAATGAGGTATACGACAATGAGACAGCTCCCCACCGATACATAAAACTAAAAGACACCCATAAAATATGTCAAAAAATTAAACTTTATAAAACATTCTTTTATAACGGGTTTCCCTAAATGTACCATTAAGATAAATTACTACTAACGACGTTCCTGGTTTGGGATAAGCAAATGTACATGTGGGTGGGGTTAAACTATTGTTCACCTCTAGATGTCTTTTTTTTGTCTTTGGCTATAGTCAATGATGTATACCCATCATCTCTTTTATTATAATTAATATATACATTTATGAGCCCGTACCAACTCATGAAACTTTTTCTATTATAACAATAATTCACAACGTTCTTAGACTTGGGACGATTTTTAGTCTAGACAAATTGTATAAACACTTGCTTTTTTTTGTTACGGACTTTATACTGGTGTCTTTTACGTTATTTTTTAGGTAGATTGCTTAAAACAATTGAAACTGCTTAATTAGTATAAAGAGAGCTTTTTCTGTTTGAGGGATCTGTAAATTGAGGAATACTTGTTTAACGGGTATGTTCTATTATCAAAGTCATAAATGCCAGTATCTGAAACTTATCACTGGAATTTACTGTAGGTAACCCTTAATTAAACAGGAACAGTTAACACTTTCTGAAGCCCCTGTACCAAGTCACGGTTATTTAACTAGAATTCATGTTTTATTACATTTTTCTGATTTGTTTTTATTGTTGCCCCCTTATTTTTCGACTCACGGATCTACCACTGTAATATATAACAAACATAAAATATTATTGAATGCAAAAACAGCAAGAAATAAAATTGAAAAAATCACGAGTCAACTGTATGTACTCGGTTCCGATAACCGTTTTATAGAGGATTTAGTGATTAAAACTGCGAGGTTATGGTAAAATGTATTCAGAACCGAAAATTAGCATTACATTGAAAAGGGTTATTGCAAAGGGTTAAGTCTGATCAACATAATAGTATGTTTTTGTGACTTTTAGTGAATATATCTTATTGTCCTCCACTTAATTATAATTGTAAAATCAATAAAGTCAGTTTTAAAGGCCCTGGATGCCTTCTTTCTTATTCGTATTTTCTTTACAAAACCCGGACTGTTTTTGAAAAATCCGGACGTTTTAAATGTTGAACATGAAAAAACCTGGACAATATAAATGTTCAATTTTAAGAGAAATACATCTACTGGCAAATCATCTGCCGTTTGTGTTCCAAACAGTATCACATGCGTTTGTTGCCGAAGTTTACAGGATCGTGACATTGATAAACAATCAAAACAGAGCACGTCGAGTAGGTGAAAAATAAGTGAGTTGATAGAGCCATGATATTATTTTTGTATATTTTCCATGCGTTCCCATTTGTTAATTAAACTTTTCTTTAACATTTGTAAAATGATTTGGTGTATTAAATTTGTTCTTTAAGAATCAGTTATTACTATTTACCCCCCAGTGCACGTTTGTTTATATTCTTTCATCACGCTTTTCCCCTCGCACTTGCGCTGTGCGGTGGCCGAAGTTCTAACGAGAGGTCTCGGAGTTAAGGTCACTGTATACGGGAAAATATCGGCTAATTAGTGTACGGGAAGACAACAATTCAATAGCAGTACATTTATGAAGATTTTGATAATACAAAGGATTTTCTTTTAGGAATAAAACCACTAATTCATAGCCCATTGCTTTCTATGTTAAATTCTACAATTTTAAGCATAAATGGGTACTTTGTCTTAAGTTCAAATAAAGTGGCAGACATTTCATGTAAAACTATACCTTATCTTGACTTGTGCTGAAAAATTCAACAAACCTTTAATTGCATATTAGAGCGCACTAGTTCCCGGAAGTTTGGTAGTACACAAACATGTACTTCTGATCTGAACAACAGGGCAATGAGCCCGCCTATCATAATTTCATGTATTTTTTCTATTCTTCAAAAGAAACTTTCAACAAGGGTTCTACAGTGATCCCAAGTCCTAAAGCTTTCATTTGATATACAAATTACCCAAATATTTTACTTTTTGACAAAGTTACAGCTATGCGTAGGAACTATTTTGTGCAACATATGTACTACTTTCTTGTACGTTCTTTCTGACCGGGCCCGAATTAGTGGTTCTATACCTTTACAAGAAAGTTCACGTACACTTGTTTTATAGTAAAACTTAGCCTTTCAAGTATATAAAACATATTTAACATTTTTTTTAAATTTTAAGTTTCAAATGACTTTAAGTTGCAAATATTGCTTATCACAACCTAAACATTTATGAACAATTTAACTTTTAATTATATCAAAATCAAACATATCAAAAGCAAATTTAAGTTTTTTTTAATACAAAAACCGGACAAAAACTATGCGTTATCCTTTTCAAAGGCACATATCACATTAAGTCTTCACATAAAGGTGACTGAACATCATATAATGTCAAGTATACATCACATAATGTCGTTACCACATCTTATAAAGACAATAAAGAGCTGCGCCATGAGCGCATGATACGCCCGTCGCTTTTTCAACGAATAAAGTTCCATAACTCCTCAATGTCATATCAGAAATTAATAAAAAAAAAAAACTAAAGGGAGCTTATTTTAGTAGATATAAACCAGTCACCAAAGTTTCATGAAAACTGCTTAATGCATTTTTGAGTTATTGTCCGAAAACTGGAAAATCCCCCCTTTTTTACAAATAAAAACCAATAATTCGGAAACGTAAAATCTAAAATTTATAAAAATCGAAAGGGAGATTACGTGAATAGATATAAACAATTTGCTAAAGTTAAATGAAAATTGGTTAAAGCGTTTTTGAGTTATTGTCCGAAACTGGAAAATCCCCCCTTTTTTATAAATAAAATCCAATAACTCGGGAACGTGAAATCTAAAATTTATAAAAATCAAAAGGGAGCTTACGTCAATAGATATAAACAATTCACCAAAGTTTCAAGGAAATTGGCTAAAGCGTTTTGAGTTATTGTCCGACAAGTTGACAACGGACGGACAGACGGACGGACGGACGGACACCGGTATACCATAATACGTCCCGTAAACGGGCGTATAAAAACATGTCACATATATATAAGGTAAATTGCACATCATAAAATGACAGTGCACATCATATAAAGTCGATTCTATATCATACAATGTCGTTTTAACCTCATATATATACAGGTAAAATCACACCATATGATAAAAAAATCATATCATTCAATGGTAAAAGCACATAATTTAATGGAAATGAACATAATCAGATTCTATACAATGGCTAATTATTATTGGTTATTTCGGAAATTAATATTTTTAATTGATATGTCTTTATTGTTATATTCAACTGTTGAGCCACAAGTGAGCTTGCAATGATAACCTTTAAAAATAATGCATCAACAAGTAATGTAAGTTAACATACGTATAACATCTCTTTAGTTCTTTTAGCAGCTGCATTGTTATTTGCAGGTGACTGTAAATCATCTTGGTACTTTTTACAATTCACTCCTTCATGTATGGCTTTACATGTCATACAGTTCTCTTTCTTACAAATAGGACAGTTAAAGAAGTTCACATGATCTTCATAAATACACCATCCCCGACAGTCAGGAGTTTTACAATGGAAGCTATTTATCTCCTGGCTCTCTGCTGTTGATAAACTCTTTTGCAAATATCTTTCATATACATCGACAGGAACTAACTAAAACATATATATTATAACCTCAAGGTAAAAAACCTCCAACAGATACAAACTATGGAAAGCCAAAGGGGTCAAATCATTCCAATTCTTAAATTGCGAGTATCGTTTTATGACTACTGGGTCGCTGCATCGGCACTTTCGGTTTCACTTCGGAATAAAAAATATCATACAGAGTTAGGAAAATTGACGACAGATATGAGAAAGGTTTTCTTTCAAAATTATGAGAATGACGGAGTATGCAACGAATGTTAATATGTACCGTCTGGTTTTTGGCTTGATTGATTGATTGTGTTTTTTCGTGGCGGTCAGTTTTATTGATGGAGGAAGCCGGAGTGCCCGGAGAGAACCCGGTTTTTTTAGGAAATAATGATTTTAAAGTTTGTTTACGAAAGACTTTGGTATCGTTTTCAAGGGTATAAACAAACCCTCATGTGGAGTATAACCCGATTGTTTGGGTATTGGGCGCATCGAAGAAAATGAAAGCATGCATTTGTGTTTTTGTTACCACCCCTCCCCCCGCCTCCCTAAAAAAATCATATCAAATCAACGTGCGAATTATCACTAATCTTAAAAATAGCAAATGCCTCAAGAAGATCAAATAATTTTTGCCAACACACTTCAAATGTTTAACTGGGGCCAAAAATCGTGGGCACAGACAAGTTTTGAGATTTACAGCCCCATACGCCTTGAACTAAAATACAAGTGCAAACTTACGATACGGCAGTGTAAATGCCTAGGTGTACATGTAACAGTATTATTTCCACCTAAAAAGAGAGGCGGAAGATAACAAAGGGATATTCAAACTCATAAGTCAATGACAAACTGACAACGCTATGAAACTAGAGGCTCTAAAGAGCCGGTGTCGCTCACCTGCATTTTCAACAATGGCCACTTTATAGTAAAAATCATCATTTAACTAGAATAAATCTGGCCACTTTATAGTAAAAATCATCATCTACCGACAATTTCAGTCATGTTGGCGTATTTGTAGATCTTATCCTGCTGATTATTTTTCCTTTTTACAGTTTCTATTTATCTACAGATCTCAAGATAATAGGCAAAAATTGCTAAAAAATGGTAAAAATTATTATTAAAGGGCAATAACTCCAATAACAACTTGACTGAAGATTTCGGCCACTATGGCTCATTTGTAGACCTTGTCTTGCTGATCATTTTTGCTATTAAAAGTTTCTATCTATCTATCTATCTATCTATTATAGTTTTCAAGATAATAGGCAAAAATGCAAAAGTTGGGAAAAATCGTCATTAAAGGGCAATAATTTTCATTAAGGAGTCAACTAAGGATTTCGGTCATTTGACTTATTAGTAGATTTTGTCTTGCTGAACATTTTTGCTATTTTTAAGTTTCTGTCTATCTATTATAATTTTGGAGATAATAGGCAAAACGGAAAAATATGGAAAATTCGTTGTTTAAGTGCAATAACTCCTATAAGAAGTCGTCTGATAGTTTTGATGTCAATAGACATTCTGTAGATCTCATCATTTGGACATTTTGGCCCTGTCAGATTTTGTATATATATAGCGGTTTTCAAGATAATAAACAAACATGGCATTTTACCCTATGCTATATTTTTAGACATGTTGGCCATGTCAGGCGGGGTCATCGCGTCATCTTTAAAAACAGATACACCATTGATGATTGTGGCTAAGTTTGGTTAAATTTGGCCCAGTAGTTTCAGAGGAGATGATCTTGGTAAAAGTTAATGGACGACGACGACGAACGATGATAGACGACGGACGCCAAGTGATTGCAAAAGCTCACATTGGCCCGTAGGGGCAGGCGAGCTTAAAAACGAAAACGACCAAAAAGACCAACAACACAAAATAGAAAGCTAAAAAATTAGCAACACGAACCCCATGAACCGTGCCCGCAGGGCAAGTAGAAACTGCTCCACATGTTGCACCCATTGTTTCGCTCATGTAAGTACAAAATCTGTGATAAGTCTTATTCGGTTATGTCACATACGAGGAAAAGAGGACGGGATTGTGGTAATGACAATTGGAACATATCCGTCGTCATATGTGGAACCGATATTCCATAACGGTCAACCAACTCGTAAAGGCGTCCGTAGTCTAGAATTTTCGAAGGGATGACTTCAGCTTCGCCACTTGGAACCCTTTGCTTAATAGCTTCCTTTTGTAAGCAGCAACACTCTTTTAAGGAAATTATCATAGGTAATGCAATCTCTGGAATATAGTATCAACTGGAGTATATATACCTCAAGCGCTGCTGAAATGTTGGACAGCTGAAATCATCTCTTTCGTCGTAAAGTTTTGTTCCCAATTGACATCATTGTCAATCTCTAGATGTAAGTCAAGAAATAAGGCTCACTTAACTGTATCTGTTGTATCCTTTTTTAAGTTCGATGGTAAAGAGGCGTTCAACATGGTCACCAACCTTTGAATTATTTAGTGAGAGGACATCATCGATATAGCAGTAAGGAAGTTAAGAAGAATGCTAGCTTCTTTCCATTCTTACCAAGAAGCCTCAAAAGAATAAAGTAACAAGTCGGCAAGAGGAGGAGCATAGTTGGTTCCCATGGGAATGCCGATTGTTTGTTTAAAAAATAACATGACATCCAAACATAACAAATATGTTGTCAAGCTAGAAACCAAGAAACTAAGTTTGGAATTGGGAATACTTGTGTAAAGGGTAGAAAGTAAAATGTTTGTATACTATTGCAAGAGGAAAGAGACTTAGATTGTATCTATTCTAACAGATCTTTGGAAGTTTTAAGCATCCATATCTGATTAACACCGCTCACGATAACTCTGAAGCCCGGTTTTAAGCTAAATTGCTAAAAATATAGCAAATTTGGTAAAATAATGACCTCTCATGCTTCGTATTAGCAAACACTCTGACCATTAAGGCATATGGCTTTAACTATACAGCTTCATCTCTAATTCTTAAACGATTATATATAGTTTGTAGTTGTGGAATACGCTTTGGTATTTTCAAGTTTGATCATCGGGTCCAAACAAAGGGCCACACATGATCAAATTCTAAACTTCAAGTTTGGAGTTTGTTTTCAATGATTGTATGTACATGCTGTGTATCAATGTGCAATTTCTGAACTTCGAACTTTTATTTTGTTTAAGATGAAGTACAGTATGTTCAAATCTAACTTTAGATTATTGTAGAATTATCCCAGGGGGTTACTTGCCAAAGTTTAAACATACATGCTCAAACTGTTTCTGATGGTGTGGCATTGTTTTAATTGCACTGTTAATACTGTTTCTGATGGTGTGGCATTGTTTTAATTGCACTGTTCATGGGGAATTAACAAATAAAACACTGGATATTTTAACGGGGTAATATTCTCTTTCTTTGTAGCGAAATTTACAGAAACTCCACTTTACTGCTTGTTATTCTTTACATGGGACCAAAATAAAACATTTTGGTGTCTATGGTTTCCTCATTTATTCTAATCAGTATGTCTAAAATATCTACTTTCAAGTTTTGTATTGCCACATTTGGTTGTAAATCACATCTCTGATCATGTTGAAACTGAAATTCTCCCCATAAAAGTACTCATTTAACAAGGGGGGAAATAGCTAAAAATCCTGCCATATTTTTCTTAAGGAGATTACCCTAAACCACAATTTCTGTTTGACCTGAGTGTTTGTTCTTACCCTGAAGAGCAAAATCAATGCCGCTCAAAGACAAAATGCATAATAATTAACACGGGACTGCACATGTTTACATCCGATGCATACTCCGTAATGCTTAATTTTGATATATAACCTGGTGTTAAATACATTTGTGTTCCTCCTCACTCTGTATGCTATTGACTAATTCAGAGTGATACCAAAAGTCACGAGGCAGCGCCATCTGTAGTCATAAAACGAAATGAGCATGACGATTTTTTGTTTATTATGGATAAACGAAACTCGAATCTTGGTGTGCAAGCAAATTGTCGATATCCAAGTATTCAACTTAATAATACATGCACACATTTTAAATAACAGATTTGCAAGGCTCAAATTATCATGTAGCAAATTTTAATTAACAAATTTACATATCACAAATATATAAAATTTTAAGATTGGAACATCAATGTTAGAATTACAAATTACCTATAGTCGCAGAGTTGCAAACTAAGAGTTGCTGTTCATTGCAAGGTTGGAATTTTGAATTACGGAGTTATGTGCTTATGTTCCGGACCATATGAGTATTCGGAACATATGCGCATACTAATATGGTCCAATCATACGAGTATATACTCGTTTGGTTATTAACGGGTAGGACCATATGAGTATTTGGACCATATAGGTATTTTTCAAATATGCATTAGAAACGTTTCGATAATACAATAAACATTACTTAACAAAAGAAAAACAATGATGCTAACATGAACATGTATTATTTTATAATTTAAAGGCTGTATAAACGTTAAATATTGATGCCACAGTTAGTTTTCATCACTAATTGTATTCTTGCATGCATGCTTAGGATGACATTTACTTCCACACGCTACCATTGCTTTTCTGCATTTACACGTTTTGGTTGTGCACGATCCTTTGCAGTTACACCTTTTGCTTGCGAGTGAAAATTCTGAATATTGCACTGCTAATGCTAACTATATAAAGTTTCAAAAGTAAGCAAAGCTATAATGTATAGAATTCTAACCGCTTTTGTTGGAACACACAGCTCGTTCTCCAAACCCGAAACGGCACAAGTTACAAGCTGAAACCCTATGTCTTTCACATATTGTCTAAATCAGGGTGTATCTGTTTCTGTCCTTCTCTAGTGTCAACTAATAGGCTCTTTATCCTGTCGACTTTTTCGTTAGTTAGTAAAACAGTTGACTTCTTGCTTAACAGTTAATTAAGATATTTTTTGAAGTTATCTTCCCAAGTCGACATATTGCCATTCATTCGTAATAACAAATCGGTAATGACCATAGGTATACAATTTGTTCATTATAATTTTAATTAGTGAGTAAAATTCACTGGGTTAAACTGCTTCTCTTTATTTA